CATTGTTTGAGTAAGGTTGGTCACTAGGTATGTAAACATGTAGGAGGGCTTAGCCACCATTGTTACCTGTAGGAAAAAGGGTTGAAGGAACTTTTGCCTAAGAGCCCTGGGATGCAGGTGGTGCCAGATGAGTGTGTCCACTGCTGCAGGGAACAGAAGAGAATTAATGTCAAGCAATCCTGGTAACAGGTGAGGCCAAGGCCACAGGCAGTTTGAAGATGTATGGGGAGAACTTGTGAATAAGAAGGATGAGGCAGAGTGAAGCATCCCACCATGCTGCTTCAGGTTGTGTGCTGGGTAAGTTATGGAGTCTGTTTCTCATTAAGTACATTGGAGGGTTTCATCACTTACAGGAAAACCACCCACTTATCTGAAATCTGACCTACTTTGTGTTGGAGCCAGACAGGGCTCCTGCATCCCTTGGGGACACTCAGGCTAGGCTGTGGATGTCCAAATCTGAGTATCCAGCCAGCCTTTAGTAAGGGGCATCAGCTCTGGCCATATTCCCACTGTCCCCCCAGGCCAGGGCTGAAAGCTGAGGTCTGTCCCTACAGGGTGTCTTAGATGGCAGGATGGTTCAGCAGGACCCAGAAGACTCATGATCCCCATGAGCCAAGTGCTTGCTTCCTTAGGTCCGGTGTGAGGTAGGTGCGGCCCTTCCCATGTGAGCTCCCTCCCTCCCTGTAGTTCTCATTAAGAAGTTTTCTTTTTAGGAGTACTGTGATCAGGAAGGGTAAGATGGATAGAATGGGAATAAATATCTCTGAATCCTCTTGCATACCACCTTCAGTTCTCAAGTAGTCTTAGGCCACATTTTTATTTTATTCTATTTATTTATTTATTTTTGAGTCCGGTTGTGGGGCCTGAACTCTGGGCCTGGGCGCTGTCCCTCAGCTCTTCAGCTCAAGGCTCTACCACTTGAGCCACAGGGCCATTTCAGGCTTTTTTCTTTTTGCTTATGTGGTGCTGAGGAATTGAATCCAGGGCCTCAGGCATGCAAGGCAAGTGATCTACCACTGAGCCACCTTCCCAGCCCATTAGGCCTCGCTTTTATAAGGAATCACCTTTTAGTCTTATCAGAGACAACATTTTGGGACTGGGAAGGTGACTTAGTGGTAGAGTGCTTGCCTAGCATGTATGAAGCCCTAGGTTTGATTTCTCATTACCACCAACACAGAAAAGGCCAGAAGTGGTGCTGTGTCTCAAGTGGTAGAGCACTAGCCTTGAGCAAAAGAATCTCAGGCACAGTGCCCAGGCCCAGAGTTCAAGACCCATAACCGCCCTCCCCCCTAAAAAAAAATACTTGTCTAAAACTGGCATGGTAGCAGTCATCATTATAAACCAAACCAAGTGGGAAAGTGTCATAATGAGAGAGTTTCATGTCTTCCCAATGGCACGGCCCCTGGGGAAGGTTCAGCCATCTTGTCACCCAACTGAGGTGCTGGACTTGCTGCCCAAGAAGCCTCAGTCTGCTGGGTGTTGGTGACAGAACACCTGTAATTGTAGTTAGTCTGAAGATCACGGCTTGAAGCCAGCCCAGGCAGACATATCCATAATACTCTGCTGGAACTGGAGGTGTTGGTGTGGCTCAAGTGCCAGCCTTGAGTAGAAAGAGGTAAGGGAGAGCGCCCAGACTCTATTCAATTCCAGTATCAGCACGTGCGTGCACACACAATTTATTGAGGGGCAAGCCTAGGCTCTGGCTGGGGAACAGTGGCGAGGATGCTGGAATGCTCTAGTTGTTTGCCGTTTATCTTTCCTTTCTATCCGCCCATGGTCAGCTTGTTTTCAGGGGTAGTCTAAGGTTGACAACTGGCAGAATAAGGACAGATGAGGTTTGGGAGTTACAGCTTTCCACTCCCCGCTCCTCCCCCACCCCCAGACACTAATCTCAGGTGACTTTTAGGGTACTAGGGTCTGAACTTAGGTCCTTACACTTGCTAGGTAGGTACTCTGAAGTCCTCCTCTCTCTGTTTCTGTCTCTGTCTCTGATTCTATCTCTATCTCTGTCTCTGTCTGTCTCTCTCTCTTTTTATCAGTCATGGGGCCTGAACTCTGGGCCTGGGTGCTGTCCCTCAGCTCTTCAGCTCAAGATTAGTGCTCTACCACTTGAGCCACAGCACCACTTGCAGCTTTTTCTGTTTATGTGGTGCTGAGGAATGGAACGCAGCGACTCAAGCATGCAAGGCAAGCACTCTACCACTGAGCCACCTTCCCAGCCCCTCCTTGTCTCTTTTGAGTAGCTAGCTTTACAGGTGTGGGCCATCATGTGCAGTCCGCAGGTGGCCTTGGGACTGTCTCCTATTAGCTGGAGAAGCCAATGGCATGAAAAGGGCAGGAGTAGGAAAAAGATGTGGAGAGCCATAGTGCCCAAGGAGCCAAGCCTGGGGGAAGAACTAGACTGAGAGTGGTAGGAGCAATGCTTGCAGCTCATGGCAAAGCCTTCCATTCTGAGGGGATGTAGTCTGGGGTGAGAGACCATCCTGCAGACTAGACTGAGCCAGAGAGGCACTGCTTGAGGAGGGAGGAAGGATGAGGGAGGTTGACCATGGGAAGACTGAGTCAGCTGAGAATACTTTCTCCAGGCATGAGGAATCTGTCTTCAGAGGAGGGAAAGTCTTAATATAATTGCCCAGCCCCATTCTGCTCAAGTTACTCAAGCACTCCATCCTAAAGTTTTACTGCAGCCCCAGGCCTCAGCTTGGTAGTGAAGTCAGGGTTGGGTGGATTCCTTCTAGTTGTTGTTTGCCACCTTGATTTTTTCCCTCCCTCCCCCTTTCAGTGCTAGAGATAGAACCTTGGTCCTATTCATCGTAGGCCAACACTACCACTGAACTATACCATAACTTACTGCCTTAGACTTCAGGCAGGCCTGGGACCTTATACTTTGGTCTACCAGGAATCTCTTGCTATCAAAACACTGGATTGGGATCACAGCACCTGGGCCCTGGCCCTGACTGCTTCCAGCTATCCTCCCTAGATCTCAGTTTCCTCTTTAGTTAAACAAAAAATTAGTTATGAAGCTGGGCACTGGTGGCTCATGCCTGTAATCTGAGTTACTCAGGAAGCTGAGATCTGAGAATTGCAGTTAGAAGCCAGCCCAGGCAGGAAAGTCTGTGACACTCTGATCTCCAATTAACCACTCCCAAGCTGAAAGGAGAGCTGTGGCACCAAGTGGTAGAGTGTTAGCCTTGAGCAAAATTACAGGGACACAGCCCTGAGTTCAAACCCCATGACCCCCCCCCCCACTTCCTGGAAAAAAAACTGGTTGTGATGGGTATCCGAAGTTCCTTTTGGCCCCAGCAGGCCTGTAGTTGGGATAGTCTGTTAAGGAAACTAGTATGCAAATAAAATATGAGCTCTGATTTATAAAGAATGTGGGGACCCGAGCACAGAAAAGGGCTGCTAAAGGCTGCACAGCTAGCTAGCACACTGCCAACATGGTAATCCAGGTCCCGTGATCACGTTCCCTGAATCCTGTCACCCCGCAGAAAAAAAGGATGGTATAGAGTCCTAGACTCCACCCTGCCCTGTAGTAAAAACATCTCAAGCCAGGCACTGGTGGCTCACACCTATAATCTTAGCTACTCAGGAGGCTGAGATCTGAGGATCATAGTTCAAAGCCAGCCCAGGCAGGAAAGTCCGTGAGACTCTTATCTCCAATTAACCACCAGAAAACCAGAAGTGGTACGGTGGCTCAAGTGGTAGAGTGTTAGCCTTGAGCTGAAGATCTCAGGGACAGCGCCCAGCGCCCCACAACTAAAAGAAAAAAAGGAAAATATCTCTGCCCCTCTCCACACCTGGCCATTCTGTTATATCTGGAAGTCTGGAGGAGTCCTTTGGTTTCTCACCTGATCCCATCCCTTGCTATACAACAAACCACAGTGTATCCTTCCACCACCACAAGGAGTCCACCTTGAAAAAACTCCAGAGTCTCACTTGAGACTTCATTGTGCTTTTAGCTTCCCTGACTCAGCAGAGCCATCTGCTCCTTGCTGCCATCCTCTCCTCTTGCTCAGGAGGGGTTTAGACCTATAGACAAGGGAAGTATAACCCCATGTCTGTTGATTCAGCATCGTATTTCTCCTTAAGCTGGTCAGCATTGGAGTGGAAAGGAGGAAAATGGCTAGTCATTGGAGCTGGCACAGCCACAGGGCTGGAGGTGGTGTGATAATGGCAATGCCCAGGCCTCCAGAAGGCAGTTGGAGGCAAGAATCTGCCAGACGGACCCTGTGCTTCAGGCGGAGAGCATGTTGTGGAAGCAGACAGACAGGCATGGATTGCCTTAACTAAACTGTTGCATGAATGACTTTGCCCAAGCCTTTCCCTGCCAGCTCTGCTCTGAGCCTGGAAGACCAGACCTCCAAAGACTCCAGTCTGAGGCAAGACTCTGGGCAGATTCCTCGAGTGGTTGAAACCCAAGTCGGGCAGGACACTGGTCCTGAATGGGTCTGGGTAGAGAAGAAACAGAACAAGAGGAGCAGGGGACAGAATGGGGTCCTAAGTGAGCAAAGGACCTAAAAGTCCAAGAGGGTAGGAAGATGAGGTCCCATGCCCAAAGGGGTTCACACATAGGCTAATAAGGCACTTTCTTCCTCCTCAGTCTTGTGCTGGACAGAGAGGGTGGAGAGGAGGTGAAGGAGAGGAGGTTCAGGCTGCCCCTGAACCATTTGCCCCTTGTGTCTCTTTTCAGGGACATCCAAGTGATGCAGCCACTTCTCTGCCTTGACTGTCCACTCAGTCCACCCCAGTTAGAAACGGAATGCTTTCAAACAGAGGCCCTTGGTATCTCTTGGTATTATTGTCTTGCTATCTCTCAGCCCTAGGCTAACACATGCATAACCCTCGATGAGGTGTCTTCCAGCCCCCAGAATCCCCTGTTCTTACCCCTTTGAACCTCTGTTCTCACCCCTCTGAACCTCTGAACCACAGTGTCAGAGGAAGTCAGAGAGAAACAGTCAGACAAAAGGAGCCTCGATGACCTGGATCCCTGTGGAGGGGAGGTTGTTGGTGATGATTTATTAGCCAGACAATCAACAAAACAAGTTCTAACATCTGTTCTCACCAAACCATTCCTCAGACAACAGCAGCATTGGACCAGGGCCCAGACTCAGAATCAGAAGGCCAAGGAAATTAGACTCCAGAAGGAGAAACCAGGGCGGTGAGAGCCAGCAGGGCCCTCTAGCATAATTCTTACCATCTCAGAGGATCAGCAAGTACCTAACCCTTTGATTCCTGGGCATTCTCAGGAGGGAGCATGTGTTATTAAGATGAGGCAGACTGCATGTTTGTTTTTCCAGCTTTCAGGCTTCTTGGTGGAAGCCAGACCTTTCAATATTCAGGGCTACACTAGTATCCAAAGGAGAGGAGCTAGCACCCAGGCCCCATGTGGAAAGCAGCCAGGCTTTCTATCTGAGGAAATCTCTGTCACATCCTGTGGAGAAGAGTTAGAGCATATGCAGTAAGTCTTTGACCTTGGCTAAGTCACTATCCCTCTCTGGTTTTATTTCCTTATCTGCACAGAGAGGGAATTGACCTTGATCAGCAAGAGCAAATGAAATACTGCTCCTTCTCCCTTCTACATCCACAGCAGACATCACTAATCAATCATGATGCTCTTTTCTGCTGAGTTCAGATGTGACCTTAACATCCTTTCCAATGCAACCCTCTAGGCAGCCACAACCAATGGATTAGAGTTGGCATGCAAGATGACATCTCTTTGCCATTCTTGCAATTGATGAGGGCTGAGGTCCTTCCCAGCTCTGATCACCTGTGCTTGTTTCATCCACAGTTCCTGAGAAGGGCACCTAGGTCTGTGGACCTGATGTTTCAAGCTCAGACTTTCCACTTACTGAAGAAGGAGGTCCAAGGGAGAGTCACATCTGTCCTCTGTCCTGCAGCATCTGTCTAGAAAGACTGTGGGGAAGGGTGTGCCTATATGGGAGAGGGGGCTGCTGGGGCAAGAGAGGGCTTTGTCCAGAAACAGAGTTCTCAGAATGCAGCTGTGGGCCACCTGGATTCTGCAGAGAGAAGAACAGTCCTAGGTCACACTCCTACTCTCTTAGACCCATCTGCCATCTCAAGAGAGAAGAGAAAGCATAAGCATAAGAGGGAGCATAAAACCCTTGAGAAAGGGTTGAATGAGAATTCATTCAATGACTATTTCCTAAGTTCTTGTCTATGTGTGCTTTGAAAACAGTTGAGTAAGTCCCAGTTCTGCCCTAACAAACTCATGCTAGGGAAATGGGGAGCTGGAAGGAGATGGGAAAAAGGGGTGCCTCAGGTGATCAGCAAGCAGCAAAACAGGTGTCTGTAAGCAGATCAGGTCAGGTGGGGGAAGTTCTTCCAGAGGAGAAAGGCAAACATGTCTGAAAGGATGATGAAAAGGTTGTAGGGCAGCAGGAGGATGAGCCTTCAAGAAGTGGCAAGAAGCAGAGAGATTGATGGGTGCAAGCCCAGGAGGCTTGAAGCCATTTGGTGAGTTTGGAAAAATGTGAATAGTTCTGTAGTGGAGGTAGCATCCTCCTTCACCAAAATGTGGAGGGCCTAAGTGATCAGGCAGCTTTTCAGAAAGGCCATTCTAGTTTCTTTGGGGCAGAGTGGACCAGACTGATGCTAAGAGGCTCTGCCAGCCAATAGGGGCTCACGTAGCCCTAGTTACTCAGGAGGCTGATATCTGAAGATTGACGTTTGAAATCAGCCCGGGGAGAAAAGCCTATGAGACTCTAACTAGCCAGCAAAAAATACAGAAACGGAGCTGTGGCTCAAGTGGTGAAGTGCCATCTTTGAGTGACAAAGCCAAGCAAGGACTCAAGGTTCTGAGTTCAAGCCCCAGTGCCTAACCTCCCCCCCCATACAAATGAAGTTCTTGGCAAAGTCCTGAGGGAGGCTGGATCTTGTGGGAGTGAGGAATTTAGGAAGAGATCCAGCAGAAGTTAGAGATGTCTGGGGAGTGAGAGGGATGAGGGGAGAGACGTTGAAGAAGCCCTATGATTTGAGCTTGGCTAGCTGGGTGCCTTACAGGGAGAAGTTTAGGGGAGCAAGGGTGAGTGTGGTGTTGACTGTGTGGGCTGTAAGTGGGTGTAGGACCCTGGAGGAGCTGTCTAGCCTGGAGAGGTTTGGATGGAGATGTGGACTGGGGGGACTCTGGAGTCTCAGCAGGTAGAAAAACTGGGGCAGGGCCTGGGGGTGGGGGGACAGAGGCAGAGAGAGGGTGTGGTAAGTGAATATAACACCTTTCATGACAATACCACACCCTAAATGTGTATCTAAACATGGTCATTTAGGGGATAAGAGAGAGATAAGTGTGCAGAAGGAGATAGGCGTGTGGGTGACCTGATCCTAACCCCATCTGAGGTAACACACAGAAGCCCAAGTACTTTTCTTCTCTAGGATGGCAGGGCCAAGGTGGAGGGAGCTAGAGGCCCACATGGAGACTCCCACTCTGGTCTCCATTTTCTCTGAGAAGCTAGTGTGGGAGAGGGGTGAGGAGGAGGCCTGGATCCAGGGAGAGGAGAGGGCTCAATCTCTGGATCTGGAGAAAAGTTGCTGTCATCCCTTCCAGATCACCTCAGACTCTAACCTTCATCTTCACCTAGCATCCTATCTGCACATTTCTCTGCCCACCCTGCTGTAGCTTTCAGGAAGTCCTTCTTGACTCACTTTTCCCTGAACCCCTATGTTACCTGGACTCCTGGGACGGGCCTGGACTGGCACTTCCGGAGAACAGGGTGCTTGATGGACACAGTCTCAGGTGGTCCTTCCACCTCAGCATAGATGTTGCTGGGGGCTTCTCCAGGGCTTCCCCGCCCCATGGCATAGAAAGCTATGGGTTCATCAGGCTCATGGTAAATAGGGTTGGTGGGCTTAGGGGGTAAGGCTGGGTAGGGTCGCGGCTTGGGGCTTGCATAGACTTCGGGGGGTAGCTGAGGTTTGGCAGGAATGGGAGGCTTGGGCCTGGGTGGCTGGAAAGGTTAGATGAGAAGGAAAGAAGAATGTCAGTGAGAGCAATGGAGCCAAGGCCAAAGCCTACCCCTCCATCACCTAGGCCTCGCCTCTGCCTTGCTGGCATCACTCCTCCCTTGCTGGATTCTCCCCGCTTTTTTTGTAGCTAGCCCCCTTCCATTCCTCAGTCCCGGTTCCCTCCCTCAAGCCCTCTAGTTCAACACAGTACCTCCTTTGGCTCCAGGCTTCCCGCTTTGTGCTCTAAGGCGGGGGCCTGCTCCTGTTTGATGAGTGGGTTGTGCTTGGGAATGGGGTCCTGGCTTTTGCTTCCAGAATTTGATTCTTCATTCCTTAGGGAAAGTCCAGCCGGGTCAGGAGTCTGCTTAGAAAGGAGGAGGCCTGAGAGATGGGGTGGAGGGGTTGAGGGGGGTGGGGTAGGTGGCTTCCTGAAGACAAAGCAATTTGGTCCAAGAGGATGGGAAAGAGCAAAGTGAAGACATAGATTTGGCCTGGACTGGGTTCTCTGAGTGAGCCAAAGGTGATGGAGAAGGCAAGGAGGCCAGGGGATAAAGGAGAGAGCAAACTCTGGTCACAGGCTATCTTTAGTGTTGAATTTAATTTCATCTAGAACGTGGTGACCAGACTAGTCTCTCATTTGTGTCTACGGTTGTTTAAAACAACAACAATAAAAACAACAAGGTTTTAAAAGTCTTTAACTTCAAAAAGATCACAATAGGGACTGTTTATTTTTATAGGCTGGTTTTGAACTTCAGTCCTTAGACCTCAGCCTCCTGAGTAGCTAGGTTTACGGATGAGCCACAGGTGTCTGCTCTTCATGCTGCAATATGTGAAACTACTCTAACTCTATCACTCCCCATCATTGTTTTCTCTTAGAACCCTCCTCATTATTATTATTATTATTATATACTACACATTATTGGTTTGTTGTCTGTATTACTTTATGTCTGCCTCCTATTCCTATTAGAATGAAAGCCTCATGAAGGTTGGAATATTTTGGGTAATCTTGTTCACTGTTACTTTCTCACTTGTAAGAACCATGCAAAGTAGCCCTTCAGAGAACTACCTAAATTTAGAACTACCTAAATTTAGCCAGGCACTGGTGGCTCACACCTGTCATCCTAGCTACTCAGGAGACTGAGATCTGAGGATTCTGGTTCAAAGCCAGCTTGTGTAAACAAATCCAAGAGACTCTTTTCTCCAGGGAACCAGCAAAGAAATCAGAAGTGGAGGTATGCTCAAATGGAAGAGTGCTAGCCTTGAGTGAAAAATTCAAGCAACGCATGAGACCCTAAATTTAAGCCCTCAGTATAGGCACAAAACAAAGAAACCTTCTTGAACTTGTTCATGGAAGCCCTCCCTGACAAGGCTTCTTGCTATGATAAATCGCACTTTGTTCCCTTGGCATCATATTGTCCATTACTTGATTGTCCTAGTTATTGCAAAGGTCCATAGGTCCCAAGGCCTGCCTCCCAGTCGTTCAGGGTCTCGGGTGCTCAGTAAATATTGCCTACTTTTGAAATATGACTGCGTGTCAGGCCTCTTCCTGGCCTGCAGGCTATGAGTTTGGGCTGAGTTCCTCCTCCAACACTACCTTTCTGGAAAAGTAGTGGGCAAGGGAGATGTCACTGGGCCATCTTGGGCATATGCTCCAAGCAGGGGTCTGAGTGGGCCTCAGAACCTGAGTTTTTAGGTCAGGGTGGGTGGGGGCGTGGGTGTACCTGGCGAGCGAGGGGCTGGGTAAGTGTCTCCCCATAGGGGATGAGCGGGCGCGTTGTATAGTGATGCAGCAGGTCCTGCAGCCGCGCGTGGGCACTGTCCTCGCCCAGCACCACGTGGCGCCCATCCCGGAGCTGGGCCAGCAGAAAGTGGCGGCAACAAGTCTGGCTCCTAAAGGGCACCATTTGGGATCAGATACTTATCCCTTCTCCCAGGCCAAGGCCAGCAGTTCAAGGCACGACCCTACCTACCCCGTGCCAGGGTCTCCCAAGCTGCAGAGACTTCCTCACTCCTCCTGGGAAGGGTGGTGTCAGGAGCCCCGCCCCTCCAGCAGCCAGCAGCCACACCCCTCGGCCCTCACCTGTAGGTCAGCACGAAGGTCACAGCACTCTCGCTGAACCGCACCAAGTAGCATCCTTGAGGCTGGGACTCCAGCAGCCTCTCTGCCTCCCTGTTGGTGATGGAGAGAAATGGTGGGATCCTGCTCTGGCTCTTCTAGCCTCCTGCTTCTGCCTTCCTGGCCCTCAGTAGGCGTCCCCACTTCCAAGCGGACACGCAGACGGCTACTTGGAGATGGAGAGAGAAGTGATGCTTTCCCACTTCTAGGCCTAGATGTGGACAGGAGCTGGAAGTCCCACTTGGCACACCTCCAGGCCTGCATCTTTGTGCAATCTCATCCTGGCTGGACAGCCTGGAGAGATTGTGCCTACAGCCACAGGCTTCTAGATTTATTTTTTTGTCGGTCGTGGGGCTTGAACTCTGGGCCTGAGCACTGTCCCTCAGCTCTTCAGCTCAAGGCTAGCGCTCTACCACATGAGCTACAGCACCACTTCCGGTTTTCTGGTGGTTTATTGGAGATAAGAGTTTCACGGACTTTCCTGCCCGGGCTGGCTTTGAACTGCGATCCTCAGATCTCAGCCTCTTGAGTAGCTAGGATTACAGGTGTGAGCCACCGGCACCTGGCAGGCTTCTAGATTTCTGAAGTCACAAATAGTCTGAGAGCTGAGGAAGGAGGAGAGAGGTAGGGCTGAGAAATGGAGGAGGAGGGAGGATGGGAAAGGATGAGGTAAAAGAGAAGTCGGCTGGAGAGAGATGGAAGAAGATGCTGCTGGTGGTGGCTCGTTCCTGTAATCCCAGCTACTCAGGAGGCTGAGATCTGAGGATGTCAGATCCAGCCAGGGCAGGAAAGTCCATGAGACTCTGGTTTCCAATTAATAACCAAAAATCTGTAAGTATACACACACCCAGACCCACAAACTGGAGTTAGACAAGGAGAGAAAGAGAGGCAGAGCCTAAGCTCTAGAGGCCTGAGGCAGTAGGGTAAGGGAGCTTAGAGAGGGACACTGAGGCACAGATAGAGCTGAGCTGGACCCTTTCTGGTGATCTCTTCTGACAGGCCTGGGGGAATTGGAGTGCTAGTGGAGACAGACTCCTGCCTGGCTGCAGACCTGTGCCACCTGCTCCTGCATTCTGTGGCCTGTATCCTCCTCTGTGGCTCACCTCCGAGTGATGAAGCCATGGAACCAGGCTGGGGCTGCCCCGTGCTGCAGGAACCCGGGGGCCTGGGTCTGTTGGAACCAAGCTCGGGTCTCCGCCTGCAGAGACCAGCTGCTTTCTGCCCCAGGTACTTCTTCAGGCTTCCCAGCATCCCCTAGGATGGACGCAGCCCCTGGGGCCTGGGCAGAGGAGAGAGAGGTCAAGGTGGTAGAAGCAGCCATAATCAGTGAGCTTTTTCTGACTAAGCCGGCTGCTACTTTCTTACCCTCATGGCCAACCCCTGGGCCTATTTTAGGGTAGAATGACCCAGAAAAGTCTTTTCAAAGTCACTAACTTAAATCTCTTCTTCAGCTCCAGCTGTTTGTTTTCCAGAGACTCTCCTCTCACCGTTCTCTGGGCCATGAGGGCCTTTAAGGCAGGAGCAATGAGCTGCTAAGTGGAGGAGGTTGGGCTGGGGGAGAGGGGGGGAATGGGGAGGTGACAAGGATCAAGGATTTCCAGATGTGCAGAAAGTCATTCCCTAGCAAGAGGGAGGCAAGGCAAGAATGGAGCAGGAAGCCACCCACAGACCACATGACAAAGGCTTCCCTTGCGGCAGGTTGTCCCAGCTGGTTATAGGGAAGGTTCTGGATACTTAGGTGGGTGAGCGGCTGAGATGGGGCCTGGAATACACTGGATAGACAGCGGCATTGACATACATGGGTTCCCTTCTGGGACTCAGTACACTGGGCCCTGCTCACCTAGGGATTCAGCTTCAGCTCCCTGGATCACAGTAGGCATCCTAGCAGGGGGAGGAGACACTGCCACCTCTCCCCTCCTCGGTGTCATGAACACCCCTGCTTTCTGTTTTTGTGACCTGTGTCCCTGTGCGCATCCTTACCCATGGGAGGGTTGGTAGTGCAAGAGGGATCTGTACCCCGCCCTTCATATTTCTACTTACCTCAGTGTGGACAGTGGGGGTCCTGGGACTGCGCTGAGCCTCTTTGGCTGGGGTGTGCTGTCTGGGCTCAGGGGGTGAGCTCAGGCCCTGGCAGCTTCTGTGTGTCAAATCCATGGGCTGGAAGATGCTGAAAGTTGAGGAGGGGGCTTCATGACTTCCTGTTAGCATAAAGAGGTTTACTGGAGCCTCTTAGAAAGGCTCTCTCTCTCTCTCTCTCTCTCTCTACCTCTCCCCACTTCTAGGCTTAAAGTGGTACTGGTTTTCCTCTGGTGGGAAGAGGAACCATCAGGACAACTGGAGAAAGGCAGGAGGGCTGAGGGGGAGGGTTTCTCAGGATGGAGGAATAAAGCATCCCAGAGGGTTGACACCACCAGAGGAGTTATCAGGAGACAGAGTGCCAGCAAGGAGAGCCTTGGAATTAGGCTGCCCACCGCACCCCTCTCCCCCTCGGCCACAGTGAGGCAGAGGTCTTCAGGCCAGGCCTCTCTCCTGACTTGGGAGCTTCTACCTACCAACATCTCTCACCTTCTCATTACCTCCTCTTTCTAAGACTCTTTCTAAGACTCAGCACCTGGATGTCTTGCCAGTCAGCCTTGCCAGCTCTAGCTTAGAGTAGATTCCTCACCCCTGAAGTGGGATCTCAGAAAGAGATGTAGGGGGTCCTGCTCATATTCTGAGCTTCACGCTTACCTTGAAGGCTTATCTGGGCCAGGGGAAACTCCATGGGGCAGCCTAAGAAGGACCCTGGGGCAGGGTGTATGTGCTCTGGAAAGATTTACACACTCAGCAACTTGTCTCTACTCCTACTCCGGCCCCCAGGGACAGGAAATGTCACTTCACCCACAACTTTACCTCCAGCAACAGACCCACGTCACAGAAAGCTGTAAAATCATTGTTCCACCTCCGGAAACCAGGCAGTTGAAGGTGATGGTAGTATGGTGGTGGTAGTGGTGTCACTTTGGTTAAATGTTGGAAAGTCCTTCCTGCTCTCAGACCTTTCTCCCTCCAGATTCTTCTACTTCTTCATCCCAGATAAGCTTTGTGAGTTACCCAGCGTTTCCCAAAGACCCCTACTTAGAATTATGCTTGGAGAAGACATGAAGAAGGAGGGTGTAGGGTGGCAACCGGAAGGATGTGGGTCCATGTGAGATGTGTGAGATGAGTTAAGAGGGAAGAGGACCTGCCCTTCCTGCAAGCAGAGACTCGAGCTAGGTGGAGCTCTACCAGGCAATCTTGGAGGAAGGGAGAACTTTCTCCAAGTAAGTAGGTTAGTATCAGCATGAACAATGTTAGCAGTTATTGTTGATAATAGTAGTACTGGTGTCTTAAACTCCCAATACCCTCTGCCACATCAGAAGATCAGTTCTGAGGCAAATGGTGTATGCCTGGCATTCCAGCTATGACTGAGTGACTGGGAGGCTATACGATTGAGAGGATCATGGTTCCAGGACAGCCTGGGCAGAAAAGCCCAAGGGATTTCATCTCAACAGAAGAATCTGAGTATTGTGGTATATGCCTGTAACCTCAGCTTTGACAGGAAGTGTAAAATAGGTGGATCATGGTCCAGCAGCTCAGCAAAAAACAAGACCCTATCTCAAAATAGCAAAATAAGGCTAGAAATGTGCCTTTGCAATAAAGTACTTCCAGTACCAGTACCACCACTATCACCACTAAAAAAAAAAAAAAAATCCAATTTTCTCTCTCTGGGAAGGATAGTGGGTACATTTTCCTCATTTCCTAGAAGGGTAAACTAAAACTCAGAGGAGTCAAGTACCTTGTCCAGAGTCTTTCAGTGTCTCAAAATTTGATGGTAGTTAGATGCTGGTGGCTCATGATTGTGATCTTAACTACGCAGGAGGCTGAGGTCAGAGGACTGTGATTTAAAGTCAGTCTGGGGACAAAGTCCAGGAGACTCTAATCTCTAATTAACCTGCTAAAAGCCTGAAGTGAAGATGTGACTCAAATAGTACAGTGCCAGCCTTGACTGAAAAAGCTCAAGGAGGGTGCGCTGGCTTGAGCTCAAGCCCCAGGATTGGCACCAAAAGAAAAGAAAAGCAACAGCTAGGTACCTGTGGTAATGCCTATAATCCTAGCTACCCAAGGAGGCTGCGATCTAAGCTTTGAAGCCAGCCCAGGCAGAAAAGTTCATGAGACTCTAATCTCCAAAAACTACCAAAATGCTGGAAATGAGGCTTTGGCTCAAGTGGTCGAGTGCTAGCTTTGAGCAAAAATAGTGCCCATACCCTGACCTCAAGTCCCAGGACCAGAAACAAGAGTGGGGGTGGGGGTTGGAGAAGAAGGAAGGAAGAAAGGCTTAATGATATCCACAGACTAATTATTTTGTCTCACCTGTTCAGAGCCTCTGTGACAGCTGCTCTTGGGTGGGTATTGTGTGGCTCTAAGAGCTGAGCCTTGTGTGCATACTTCCATAGTTCCATCTGCCAGGGTTTAGATTGGGTGAGACCAATGATGTCCCTGAGGCTCTTACTCTTGAGACTGTGCAAATATCCCCCTAGTCCTGGCCCTGCTGTATACTATCTCTTTCCCAGAACTCCTTTTCTCCATTTTATCCTCTCTTTTTCTTTTCTTTTCTTTTTTTTGGTGCCATTACTAAGATTTGAACTAAAGACTGCTTTCACTTGACTTTTTCACTCAAGGATGATGCTTTACCATTTGAGCAATACCTCCATTCTAGCTTTTTGCTGGTTAATTGGAGATAAGAGTCTCACAGACTTTCCTGCCCAGACTGGCTTCAAACCATGATGCTCAGCTCTCAGCCTCCTGAGTAGTTAGGATTACAGGTGTGAGCCACCAATGACTGGCTTAGTTTAAACTGGGATTAAACTCAGAGCTTGGCTTGAACTTGTTAAGCAGGTGTACTTTTCAGGTTAAGTCCTCAAACTTTTGCCTAGGGCTGGTGTCAGGCTTTCATTCTATTCTTTACCTCCTGAGAAGCCGGGACTACAGGTGTACAGCACCATACCTAGGCTTTTTCCCCTTCTCCAATGAAATGGAGTCTTGCTGACATTTTCCTGTAGGCCAAACTCAAACTGAAATCTTCCCAGTCTCCACTTCTCTAGTTACTGGGATTACAGGCATGAGCTGTTCCAGCTAATAGTATCTGTTGTTTGTTTTTGCCCATCTTGGGGCTTGAGCTCGGGGCCTGGGCACCGTCCTTGAGCTTCTTTTGCTCAAGGCTAGCACTCTACCCCTTGAGCCACAACGCCACTTCTGGTTTTTTTCTGTTAATGTGGTACTGAGGAATCGAACCCAGGGGTTCATCACATGCTAGGCAAGCACTCTACCACTTAGCCACATTCCCAGCCCAAGTAACTGTTCTTAAGGATGTTCTTTGTCAGAGAGGACGTGACCTTGTTCCAGGACCCGAGAGCATGTGCTGCAGTTCATCAATGGGGCTGGCCAGACTCCACACACAACTTCTCTCCAGTGTAGTTTATTTTCAGCTCCACTGGACATGTAGGATCACATGGCCTGAGAGGCAGGGACGCTTGCATCATAGCCTGGAACTGCTGGGAAACTCACATGAACTAGCAGCCTTCTGCTTACCCCCAAAACTGGGTTCAAGCAATATTCTCAAGTCCAGTATGCCTTGCCTCTCAAATCCAGAAAAGCCAAGTAAAGCTGTGCCTCTCTCTCAGTGCTAGGAAACACAATGTGCACCATTCTGTCCTTTATGGCAAGCTCTAGGCTGGGGCTTGTGGAAGCAGGTGATCAAGGGAACCAGAGATCTGTGCCCCACATAGCAAGCAGAGCACACCCAGTGGATCCCACAGGTGACATTCTGCATGGTTTCAGTCCTACCCTATGCATTCAGGGAACAGGACAACTGCATTTATTTGTACCTTATGTTGCAAATCAGTTATTGCTTGATAAATAGCTGTCTTGCCTTAGTTAGGGGTTATCTGGTACTGAGATACAGGTGAGAAAACTGAGGTCAAGATCAAGAGACTTAGCTCCAGTCACACCATGAACCTGGGTCTTCCATCTTGGAGCTCCTGGGATATGGAGGCAGAAGGAGATCTAGCCATTATGCCTTGAGCATTTGCCATGAGTGAGCACTGTGCTACAGTGCAGAACAGTTATAGACTCACATACTTTAGCCCATGATGGAGATGCCGTTATTATTCTATCCCAGAGACTCTGGGACTCAGGGAGGTTAAGCAACTTGGTCAAGGTCACACAGGCAGGAAGTGGGGAATTAGAACCAGGTGGTATGTGTTCAGATCTCAAACCCTGGCCAAAACAGCCCACAAGGGGTTGGGGACAACTACCTCCTATCTATGGGTGGTTCTGCTTAACTGCTTTCCCACAGAATGATTTCATGTTAAACATAGTAGAGAAGAGCAGAAGGAGAGAAGGACTTGAAAGGATTTAGTGATTACTGCATTGGAATTTCCCTGGAAAGACCAGGCCAAAGCTTTAAGAAATCAGAGTCTAAGACATTTTCCTAACCCAAACAGTTCAACCCCTACCCTTTCAACCTAGAACAGACAACCATAGTACAACCGTAGTTTCTGCATGTGGCTTTTGGTGCAGCAGAACATGTTTTGGCACTATCATGAGCTCTGCTAACACCCCCACACCACTGAAAGCACCGGTGATGTTTTCGATTCCACATAATGCTTTTCTCTCATCAGCTCTAGGCCTCTGCAGAACCAAAGCCTAACTGTACTGTATCTGTTTAGTCAGCATAGATTCTATGCCCACACTGTAGGAAAGCATGCTGGGGGCAGGCATACAAAAGTAAATAAAAACTCGCCTTTATTCTGTTGGAATTCACATCTGGGTAAAGCACTCATGCATACTATTTTTTCAGTGCTGTGTGTGTGTGTGTGTGTGTGTGTGTGTGTGTGTGTGTGTGTGTGTGTGTTGGTCCTGGGGCTTGAACTCAGGGCTTGAGCACAGTCCCTGGGCTTTTTGCTTAAGGATAGCACTCTACCACTTGAGCTCCATTATGGCCTTTTTGTATGGTTAATTGTAGACAGGAGTCTCTTAGATTTTTCCTTCCTGGGATGGCCTGGAACAGCAATCCTCAGATTCAGCCTTCTGAGTAGCTAGGATTAAAGACATGAGGTACCAGCTCCCAGCCTTTTTAATTGTTTTTATTTCTTCCTGAAAACTAGCAGGTAACAAGAATAAATAGTGTGGCTTATGCCTGTAATCCTAGCTACTCAGGAGCCATGGTAAGAACATACTGTGTCTGATCAGTATGCCCTCTCCACTTTTCTCCTCTACCCTGCTGTGGATATTTTGCGTTCAGGCCAAATTTGCTGTTAGGGCCAATTACAATAAGGCAGAGGAAAGACCTGGTTGGGGTCAGCACTGGTACGAGGGTAGAGGTAGGGGTTCTGTAGCAGCAAAAGCAGCTCCTACACTCAGTGGCTGAGCTCACAAGTGATGCCGAGGCTGGCAGTGCCCAAAGGGGACAGAGAGGAATCACAAAGAGATCTAGGGATTCCAAGAATCTATAGAGACAAGAAAGAGGTTCCTTAAGACCTGAGAGTGAGATTCAAGAACTTCCTGGAGGAAATAGGGAAAGGAGACTAGTGGGGAAATGTCAAAGAGCCTGGTGATCTCCAGGGACCTTGGAGAAGCTAGGCAGCTCCAGGTATTCTGCCCTCACAATGTACTGAGGGTACCAAAGGAGCCAAAGCAATGGAGGATCAGGGTAGGAAGTGTTTTCAGGAATTCAAGATCTTACAGAAGACACTAAGGGCTGGACCTAGAGGGCTAGAGGGGAGGGGGGAAATAAAGGATCCCACCTTCCTTCCTCTAGCATGTCCA